TTCGTTTCTGTACGTATATACGTAGCATTAGATTGCACATTTGAGTCCGATTGATGATGTTAATAGGAAGTGAAGAATTTGTCCACCACTATTCACGCGAACGAATGAACAATTCCGGAAAAACACCCAAGATGGTATTCACGGACGTAAAATAATATTGCATTAGACTCGTGACACTTTTCATATCCATCTTGTTTATGATGGTGGCTTTTACTGTCACGAGCATACCATCATAAACAAGATGAACACCGAAAAGTGTCACGAACTCAATGCAATCTAATGCTACGTCAGTGAATACTATCTTGGGTGTCCTTTCGGAATTGTTAATCTGTTCGCATGAATAGGGGTGGACAAATTTCTTCATTTCTTATTAACATCATCAATCAGACTCAAATGTGCAATCTAATGCTACGTATATATGTACAAAAACAAAAAATTCACGCCAGTCTCGTACCTCAAACCACTGCAACTCGCGCTGCATTTGAAGAGTTGCACCAGAAACGAGATTGAGTTTGTGCGGTGGGACTAACCGAGCAGCCAGGTGGACGAGCGTGTTTCCATTAGCATCCATCGAATCCGAGTACTGATGCTTGAGGTTGCTCATCTGGTAAATCAAGTTGAAGACTTTTTCACCGCGGTTCTTGACCGCCACGTGGAATATGTACTGTTTTGAGTGAAAATCACGAGAGTATATGACAGGCCACGAGTTCTTCAATAAACTCGTGAACCCTTAAGCGTGCAGCCGTACGCATGACGTCTATGCTGATTCCTCTAAGGGCTTCATATTGGTGCACAAAGATCAAACAAGATCTAATGTTGCGTTTTATTGGGTGATTGGCCTTCGCACAAGGAATTAACTGGTTATACGTCGAACACGATAGTCAAAGTGATAGAACTAAAAGTATTCGTTATGACCGAGTTTTAGATATGAAATTCTTGCGAAAATTCAGAAAGTCTTGTAAATCCTTGTCAATTGATGCATTCATTAAGAAAAGGCAAGAAATATAGTTTTGGTGTAGCTAGTACAAAGGAATAAAACAAAAGAATTAAACAAAATATTTTGCAACTTTTGAACTATGGTATTATTTTGAAAAAGAAATTACAAATAAGTTAAACATTGTCAAGGAAGTTTCACAATGCAAAGATTTATCATCCTATCACGAAATACACGAAATGCTAAGGTCCTATTACGGAATCATTCTGTTGAGAGTTTTATCAGTTGGATGTATGTACATGTTGGATGTATGTACATGCAGTTAATATAGAATAGATTATCTAACCGTTGGAACTCCTAGCATAACGGAATGGTTGAAACCTCAGCATTCCCACATCATATTATCATAGCATGATGACTATAACTAAAGGGGTAACAAAATAATCAAAGCGAGAACCATTTTCCTAACCATTTGAAACCAATCATTTCATTTTTTATATATACATATATTCACAAAATCACTCTCGTACAATTAGCATTGAAAATTTATAATGAATCCAACACGAACTTCCAACATAGTTTAACTGAGAGACTAACCCGAGAAAACAAATTGTTCCCAGAAGTTGAATCACCTTACGCCACTCAAGAAGGCAGAGTCCTTAAGTGCTATCCTGCTCAACGCCGAAATGCCATCTCTCAATTTCATAGCAACCAATTGTGTATACCTTTCAGCCAAATACAATGCCACATCTAAATACATTGCAAAGATAAGTCATCATGAGCTGAAAACAAAAAAAGCTCACAACAATGAAAGTACTCAAACCATAAACACACCCACCAAAAATATCAGCATCAATCAATAACACATAACACAGATAAAAGACACGGCGCATTGACGGTAGATCGGACGGACTCGGTGCACGGGCACGCACTTAGTGGTTTGACTTAGACTCGGTGCACAGGCACGCTCTCAGCAATTCGGCTCCAATGGCCGGCTGAGAGTCGAACACGTGGGCTGGCTGACGATACGCGTTAAGAATTAATTCTATGTCGTCTAAAATTATTTAAACGGTACTAGAGTTCGGGCGATTAAACTCGAATCCAAAAATTAACCAGTTATCGAAACCAGACAAAACTAGGATTTCTGATTCTCGAAAATCCTAACTCATTTAAAGCTGATACTTAAATCATAATTTTTATGTGAATATAAGGATTTTACATCCAACAACTACAGCTAAATAGCAATCGGACTAATTTCTAAAATTATTGCATTTTATCGGCTAAAGTCCCGATTTTAAACTATGTCAAACGACATTCAAAAATTATAAATTTTTTAACAAGATCATCCTCATCCTCATCATATTTATGATTTATGGTCAAATTATTACATCCAAATTCAGCCCCGAACTCATCAAACTAAAACGAACATTAATAGTCCAATTTCACAAAATCGATTCGCCTACGCAAACGAACCAAAAAATTCACCAAATTTGGCCTAAGCCTCAAGAAATCAAAATGAAATTTATCGAGTTGGTTTCATAATTTTCGGGCCAACCCACTATTTATTACGAATTTCCTGCCATTTAAATCGATAAAATCATATAAATTCATATTTAGCTCAAATATTCCTAAACTCATTGGAGAAGGATTTGCAGGTATATACCGCTCGAGTGGTTCAAAACTAAATTGGAACTCGGAAAGGCTAAGGGAACATTTGGCTAACCGGATCGGGTTGGGCTGCTCGGGTTTGGTGTTGTAAGTCCGCTGCTGGTGCGGATCTGAGGTGAGGGCCTCAATTATGGGCCGGGCTCGACGGAAACGGCTCGGGCCTCAACGGAGAGGGCTCGGTCGGCTCACACACGAGGACTAGATGCAAACGGGGAGCTGGACTCATGAATCGAAGGCCGCGAGCTGCTTGCCGGCAACTAGGGGCTGTGGTTCGCCAGTGTCTTGTCGTGACTCGCCGGAGGTCGGCACAAACTCGCCGGCAAATGGCTGAGTGGGCTCGTACGGAACCGAAGCTGCGGGTCGGAACTGCAGCGGGCTTCGCCAGCGTCGGGAGAGAGTGAGCTGCCACGGCTCCTCGTGAACTGGTCGTTGGTCGGAAGCTTGATGTGCGTGGAGGAGCTGGCTGCGAGGTCGCCGGCAGGAAGTGGTTCGACGGACGAGCAGGGATATGGTGGCTCGTGCTGGACGGCGGCGACTCGCCGGCGAGCTGCGAAGGTCGTCGCGGCGGGGCTGAGCTCGAGCTGGACTGTTGAGCTGCGGGTTTGCCGACGGGAAGAGCTGGACTTCGCCGGAAATGGAGGCTCGAGGTGGGCAGCGGCGGCGGGAGCTTCGCCGGCGTGAAGAGCTGGCGGCGTGAAGGTTGCCGAAGGTGGTGACCGGAGAAATGGCCGGCCGGATTTTGCTTGGTGGTGGGATAATGCTCTAGCTGGATAAGGTGTGCTAGGGTTTGTAATGTGGTGAAGATGAAATGTGCTATTTATATATATGAGATGAGATGAAGTAGGGTTTGGTTGTGCTATTGGGCTTCAAAATTTGACTTTTAAAATTGTAACATTGGGCTAGAATATACTAACACTCTGAGTTGATAATCGAACATGAACTTAGAAAATTAAAATGTTTGGGTTGATTTTAAAAATTAATCTTGGAGTAAATTATTTAGTCGGTCAAAATTATTAAAATAATTCGGCTCGGATTGAAAAATCGAATATAGACTCGGTTTTTAAAAGGACTAAAATTAAATCGAACAATAGGCTCGATTTACTAAAACGAAATGGGCCGAAATAAAATCGGACATAGACTCGATTAACTTAAATTGGTCTGCCAAAATAGACTCGCTCGAAAATTATTAAGCTCGAATAAATAAATTATCCGGCTTCGGTAATTTCAATCATTCCAAAGCTCGGTTTCTAAAAATAGAACCGATATTTAGGCTAAATAAATCTTACTTTAAACTTAAAAATCGAATAAATTTCTCATGGCTTAGACTTAATATCAATTACACGTTTAATGCAAAAAAATAATAATAAATGCTAACACGTTCGCTAATTTGGAGCTTTTAGCAAACATGTGTGTATCCCATTGGGGAAAACAAAAAAAAAAAGAAAAAACTTGGGGGTAAATTTGCAACCAAGGGACTCATAGGGACTGTCCTGTAATTTTTGGATGCGTATCTTGATGGGCTTCCAGAAGGTCATCTAATAAAATGAAATTAAATTGACGTTGATTCACTTGAAAAGTCAAAAAATGAACAGCCTCAACTCAAGAACTCATTTTCGGATAATAAATATTTTATATATCAAGATTTTATTTTATTTTATTTTTTGAAATTTTTTAATATTCTAATACGAGTGGACATAGTCAGAAATGAAAAATAATAATAATAGAGAAATAGTTAATTGTTTGAAAAATATTAGGTGGGCAAGTTCCCATAAATGTCTTTTCTCATGAGATTATACGCTACAAATTCTCTATCTCAACTTTCCTCTTCTGAGTTCTGATCCCAAACTATTTTCACACTCCCTTAAAATCTTCTTTCGGAGCTTCCCACGTTTTTGGGCATCTCCATGTTTACGAGGGATTTAGCATTGCATCGTTGATATGATTTAGTTCTTGACTTCAGCATACGAAAGAATCCCAGGTTTATTGTTCTTTTTTGCCCGAGATTTTCAGTATCGAGAGATCTTGAAGTCTTTTTTGTAGCTGGGCTTTGAAGTTTTTCATATTTTGAAAGAAGCCCACTTGATTTTCTTGTTTTATTTTTCCTTTTTTTAGATTTTATACTTTGATCTTGAAAATAAAGTATTGATCTTTTGCTGACTACTGTTTATGCTATGCTGCAAATTGAGAAGACCCCATTTGGCTGAAAGTTCCAGGAAAGTGAATTCATTCCTAAAGACTAGAGCTTTTGCCTCTGTTTTATAGTTCTGTTGTGGTGTTCTGCTAATCAAAGTCTTAAGCTTTAGCTGTGTTGATCTGTGTTTATGTTATCTGGGACTTGTTTGACTGAATCTTGAAATATATCAAGTTGATTTTTTGAGAGCATTTGATCTATTTTCAAATGGGGAATTGCTGTACTTCACCCAAAACTTCTGATGAGAAGAAGACAAAGGGAAAGCATAAGCCAAATCCATTTGCTTCTGATAGCAATGGCCATGTGCCAAACGATGGGCACAAATCTCACGTGTTGAACAATCCAACCGGGCATGACATCGATGAATTTTACAAGCTCGGGCGTGAGCTCGGCCGAGGTGAGTTCGGGGTAACGTATCTGTGTACGGATAAAACCAGCGGCGAGTTATTTGCGTGTAAGTCGATATCGAAAAAGAAGCTTAGGACTAGAGTTGATATTGAGGACGTTAGACGAGAGGTTGAGATCATGAAGCATTTGCCTAAACACCCGAATATCGTGAGATTGAAGGATACTTACGAAGATGATCACGCTGTACATTTGGTTATGGAGTTGTGTGAGGGTGGTGAGTTGTTTGATAGGATTGTGGCAAGAGGGCATTATACCGAAAGGGCTGCTGCTGCTGTGACTCGAACAATTGTTGAGGTTATCGAGGTGAAGACTTATTCGATTCAATCTTTTTTTTTATAATTGCTTCTGGTTATTGAGTATTGTTGGTTGCATATCTACAAATGAATCCTTTTTTTACAGGGTAGATGGGTGTAATTATTTACTTTGTGAAGAAGTTAATGTAAACAAACTCATGAAGTGGCTTTGGGCGTTAAGTGAATCTTGAGGGACTATGGTTTTGCTTTGATAGTTGGATCTGATTTAGTGAGCATCATAGTCAGTTAAAGTCTGCTTTTTTCATCACATTTCATAGTTGAGGTCACTATCCGACATTTTTGTAAAGTAAAAAAGAACTTGTGGTGCTTATCGACTACTGTATTTTGTTTGGACTTTTAATGATTAAAGCAGAACTACAGGTGATTGGAACTTGTTTTGCAATGTTTTAACATTTATCTGCAATCTGGACGCTTACTTATGTAAAAAGTTACATTTTTCACGCATTCAAGCTCTAAACTAAAAGGGAAGAAGAGGTACTCAAAAAACAACTTGATTTTCTTTACAGAATTGCCATAAGCATGGTGTGATGCATCGTGATCTCAAGCCTGAAAATTTCTTATTCGCAAACAAAAAGGAAACATCACCACTTAAGGCCATCGACTTTGGGTTATCAGTTTTCTTCAAGCCAGGTAATGTCCAGTACTAGTAAATTTACCCGTCTCATTGTTCCTATCTAATTTTTACAGAAATTTGCAGGCGAGAAATTCAACGAGATTGTGGGGAGTCCTTATTATATGGCTCCAGAGGTGCTGAAAAGAAATTACGGACCTGAAGTCGATGTTTGGAGTGCGGGTGTTATTCTCTACATCTTACTGTGTGGTTTTCCACCTTTTTGGGCTGGTCAGTTCTTCTAACCTATGTTGAGAATCCATCACTATATTGCCCTATATCTGCCAAAATAAGTTAATGATAGTAGATAATAAAATGTGAAATAAAAAAAAATTGCAGTTCTATATAGTATTGTTATTCAACTACAAATAGTTTAGTTTCTGGTATGTTTTTTTAAGGTGTCTGAAGCAAGTATGAGAAATAATGATTATTTAATCACTTGTGCAAAAACGTGGGGCTAATGTTTATGCGGTCATTTCTCCCATGTTTTGCATAATATTGTTGACATAAATTGTAATCTTAATTCACAGAAACTGAACAAGGTGTTGCCCAAGCAATCATTCGTTCGGTGGTGGATTTCAGAAGAGATCCTTGGCCTAAAGTTTCTGACCGAGCAAAAGATCTTGTGAAGAAGATGCTCAACCCGGACCCCAAACAGCGGCTTACAGCTCAAGAAGTTCTAGGTTAACTTAGATATCTCTTGGAGAAAAAGATTTTTTTTTTTTTTTTTTTCACATCAAAATATTTTTCTTTATCCTTGTTTGAAACTGCTTTGTTTCAGATCATCCTTGGTTACAGAATGCAAAGAGTGCTCCTAATGTTTCTTTAGGCGAAACTGTGAGAGCTAGGCTCAAACAATTCTCTATGATGAATAAGCTAAAGAAAAGAGCTCTGAGGGTAATAATAATTTACAAAAAAATTTACGCGTGTTTTATCAAATTTTGTCTTGTGTATAATTATTCGTTGCTGAATTGCTTTTTCCGAATTCAGGTGATTGCCGAGCATTTGTCTGTGGAGGAAGTGGCTGGGATCAAGGAGAAATTTCAATTGATGGACACGAATAACAAGGGTAAAATCGGCATTAATGAGTTGAGAGCAGGGCTTCACAAGCTTGGGCATCAAATCCCTGAAGCCGATCTTCAAGCCCTTATGGAAGCTGTGAGTTATTTTTTTTTTCTTCTCAATCTTTGAAAATAACCGAAGTTCATACGAAGCTAAGCTCTCTCTTTCATATTCTCCCGAAATTGGTCCCCCGTTTTTTTTTCTTCCTTTTTACGATGATGTAACAAGTTTTGATTTTGTAACAGGGTGATGTGGATAAAGATGGATATCTCGATTGTGGAGAGTTTGTTGCGATCTCTGTACACTTGAAGAAAATGGGTAATGACGATCATCTCAAGAAAGCCTTCGATTTCTTTGATAAAAACAAGAGTGGATACATAGAAATCGAAGAGCTGAGGAATGCCTTTGCTGACGAGGCAGAGGCAACGAGCGAGGAGGTCATTAACGCCATTATTCAAGATGTCGACACAGACAAGGTCTGTTAATTGCATTCTATATTCCATAAATAATAAGAAAATAAAATAAAATAAAATTGTATTCATAATGACATGTAAGTTGCACTCACTTGTGAAAAAACCCGGATTAAATTCTTTTTGTTCTACAGGACGGGCGAATAAGTTACGATGAATTTGCAGCTATGATGAAAGCTGGCACTGATTGGAGAAAGGCTTCGAGACAATATTCGCGCGAACGCTATAACAGTCTAAGCTTGAAACTGATGAAAGATGGGTCTTTGGATATGAGCAGTGAAGTTAGATAACCTCAAAAGGGACATCACAATTTGCTTAACACAGTTAACTCATTACAAGTGAGATGAAGAAAAAGAATCTGGGTTTTAGTTCTCTGTTTTTTTTATTATTTTTTTAACTATTTTTTTTTTATATTGTTTCTATATCATACTGGTTTTGAGGTATTTATTTGGTTGGGGGGAATGGCTTGGTATATGTTATAATCAGTGTATATTAATTATGATGCTTGTTTGCTTGCTGCTGTGTTTTTTTTTAATAATGTTTTCGTCGGAATTTTCCTTTTTTCAGGTGTTATGAAGGGAATTTTGTTAAAATGTCTATAGTTATATGTACAGTGCTAAAACATAAATTAATATGTGCAATTTGGCATCTTCTTCAGCCAAAAACTTTTGCATGGCTGATGTGTTATGTTGGTACAAGAGAATAACTAAGTTATGTTCTTGTTTTCCTTAATGCATTTTTAGATTACTGCACTATTTTTTTCCTTAATTTGTCAGAATTGATTGTTTGGATAAAATTTCCACTATAGTATTTAAGGTAATATTTAACCTTTTTTATTTCTTATTAGTGAATAATTGTATAAGTAATCATCAGACACAGGTAAAAACAATGGATGAGATAAAGTTGTATGAAATCGTGCGGGAGGTGCTTAAGATGATTGAGCTGGATGAACTAAAGGATGCATTGGTGGGGCTTCCAAGTGTGTAAGAACTGTTGACCGAGTAAAGGAAGCGGCTCAGGATCTCCTTATAGCTCGTGC